GTGGCCCGTTTAGGCTCGTTAGTATCGAGTCTAATTATGTCCCATATTGAATTAATGGAACACACAGATGAGCTGTGCAGAGACTCTAAGTTATAACTGAGAGGTGCAATGTACATGCAAGATGTAGAAAGTTGTGGTGACACAAATCTCTGCTGCACACAATGACCAGGACGACCAACTTAATGCAGACAACGAAGCTTAAGTAGCGCACAGGCTATAGCTGTGTCAGCCTATATATATACAGGAGCTGTACACTGCACGGCGCACTTTCACTGCAGTGTCTGCTGTCTGCTCAGCATTTACAGCGTGCACTGTATACAGTGTTTCCCCGTCATCAGCAGCGGAAGAGCAACTTCCGCTTGACGAAGGAAAGGGAGGACGGGGAGTTGGAGTCTGCAGTGTCTGCTGTCTGCTCAGCATTTACAGCGTGCACTGTATACAGTGTTTCCCCGTCATCAGCAGCGGAAGAGCCACTTCCGCTTGACGAAGGAAAGGGAGGACGGGGAGTTGGAGATGGGGCGGAGTGGGATGTGAGGGAAGGCGTGGAGTTTGTAGAGAAGAGGAAGAGAACGTCTAGATTGGAATTGTACAAGTCGAATACAGACACAGTAAAAATATCAAGACTCGATGCAAATCAGCTAGATTTCTTGTAATGAACGCCAGGTAACTGGTAAGGCAAGCCACATATCAAAATGTTAAAAATGAATTACACAAATAAATTAGACTAAACGAGAATTAATGTGAAGGAACGAAACTGAACAAAATTAGCCAAAAAAAAATTTGAATGAGCAAAAAGTTCGAAGAACGTTGTTCACAGTAACGCCACCGAAGAAGTTACTTGAGAACAGCCACAAATTAACCTGCGCCGAGAGCGCGCACCTATATAAATCTTGCTGCTCGGCGCACAAATCCTGGCGAAGAAAGGAGAAGAAAAAATCGACGTCCTAGAGAGATTTGCTACTGCAGCGGAGCACTGAACACTGAACGCACTCCTTACATCCCCAGGGGTGAGTGTTCAGCCAGGCTGGGGTCATACTTTCAAAACTCGCTAAGTGAACGTAAGTACTTACGCTCTATTTTCTTGTCTATGATTGGTGGATTTTGCTTGATAGGCCGTCAATGATTGGCTGATGAACTTACGATCTCTTAACTTTTTATAAAGTATAGGCCCTGGGGTAATACTTTCAAAAAAAGTTAAGAGATCGTAAGTTCATCAGCCAATCATTGACGGCCTTTCCAGCAAAATCCACCAATCATAGACAAGAAAATAGAGCGTAACTACTTACGTCCACTTAGCGAGTTTTGAAAGTATGGCCCCTGGTCAGTAGCCCCAGGCCAGCCTTACTGTAAAATTAGATGCAGGAATCGTAAGCTTGCTGAACAGAGAATTGAAGAGCGACGTCACCTCAGGTCTGACTGTACCTCAAGGCGGCAGGCATGTTACAAACTGCGCGGCATCCCACATGTAGTGTTGAGTGATTGGTCGCAACATATGGATGGCATCACTGGCATGACTGTACAGTGTACACTTAGTACCTTGTCTATTTATTGGAATCAACGATAGTTTAATTATATATAGGCTGTTACAATTGCAGAGGAGCAATAGGAATCAATGGTAGTTTAGTTATTTATAGGCTGTGACAATTAATTGCAGAGGAGCAAACCGACGTGCAGATTACCTTACATCAGTCTATACATAGTTGACTCAAAGGTTTCAATTCCTAATGATATTAATGTTAATCGGAAAACCAGTGAGAGGTTGTCAAGAACCCTGACCTCGAAAGAACACTGACACTGTGATGAATATTGTCATAGAGTTTTATATTTCAATAAGTGAATAGTTCTTTTTCTATTCTATTTTATTATTTGATGCATCTATGTTATCAAAGGACCATACCATTTTTTGCGATATATGCATACATCTTTTAAATCATTCATCGTCAATTAAAAGTTTTTAGAAACTAGATAAATCATAAACACTCTGAAAATAAGAGCAAATTTAAAAAAATAGGTGCAAAGTTTTGCTGAGCTTGCCAGACTGAAGGAGAGGCGAGCGTTATTTACGTGTTAAACTGTGGTTCTAGTATAAAACTTAACAATATAAGCTGCGCCTCTGATCCTGGGGCCATACTTTCAAAACTCGCTAAGTGAACGTAAGTACTTACGCACTATTTTCTTGTCTATGATTGGTGGATTTTGCTTGAAAGGCCGTCAATGATTGGCTGATCAATTTACGATCTCTTAACTTTTTTTGAAAGTATGGGCCCAGATCTATAAAAAACCACGTGGTATGAAAGTCCAAGGTAGCTAAATAACATGGGGAGTGACGCAGTAAAAAAAACAGCTGTCATTCATCGACGCAGCTCTCAGTCAATGACACGGTGGTCATGCAATAATAATAGTGTCACTTAATAAGGCGACAACCGCCGTAACTCAATAACATCATACTATTTCGTTAATGCCCGAGCGCAGCAATAGATTGCATGAAGCTGCAACTCGCCTACAGCGCGGCGTCGCCTGCTTGACATGCGATCGTTGTACGAGGCGTGTTACCCGAGAATGGTTTTCTCGTGTATGGCATTATAGCCAAATTACCTGTAGAACATTATTTCATATCATCTTCTATCTTTGCTTCCGAGAAGAGCACGCCCACAGAACCGCGACCGAGACGCGACAAGAAGCAATTGCCTAACCGCCTCCCTTGCTCGTGCGGCTGTGGTTATGGTGGCAACTGGAACAATTACGATCCAATACGTACACGTTATTGTTGATGCGATCCATTGAAGGATTTGGGAAAGATTTTTCATATTTAGCGCATTTTCGCATCTATGAAAAAATGCACTATTGTGCTCGCCATGTCCGTCTGTCTGTCCGTCCGTGACTTCACGTTTTCGTCGACGAGAAAATGCGCTCTCTGTCACTCACNGTTTTCGTCAACGAAAAAATGCGCTCTCTGTCACTCACTGCAGTGAGTACTGAGTTATATTTTTTCCATTTAGTTCAGTTGATCGAAGGACTTTCCATTCAATAAGTTTTAGATACCTACCAAGTTTTTAGAACATCTGGTAAACCTTGTTTGAAAAGCATGGTCATATCGCGAATTCTTGTAAGACGTTCAGTTGATGGAGCTAAATATTTACGAATTGTAAATAACCTGTTCACATGATAAGTTCGAACAACACGTAATCCATGAATGGGCTCAGAGAATGGGTAAAAATTTAAATATCATGCATAATTATCTTTCATTCATATAACATATTCAAATTCCAGCGTTTCGTATAATACTAAACATATAAGCATTCCAAATGACATGCCCAATTGACAACATGTTCAACTATTCAACAATTTTATGACATGTTTAAATACTTTACGGTTTTAATGGCATTTGCAAATGCCAGCAGTTTGAATGAAATGTCCAAATAGCCAGCAGAAATAAATGAAAATGTGCTTCTGCAGCGATTTCCGTCAATTGGAGCGATTTTGTTGAAAATAAAAATCCATATCTTGAACATTTATTGATGTACTGAGTTATATTTTTTATTGTGTGAGCGATTTTTCTTAAGCCTTCAGCGCGGCTTAAGCTTGAACTGAATTCATTCAGTATCGATAACACGAAGGAGAAGTAATGTCTTGACGAAATTCATGATTGAGATCAATCCCTTAATTTGAGGTCTCACTTTAGAATATTTTCAACATCTCATTCAAGTACATATGATGAAAAGTCCCCAAACGCATACTCCATTTCTTTGCGCAATTGCGATATCCAACAAACTTCCCTTGTGTACTTCCCGTTTTTCGCAATTTCTCGAAGAGGATCAACATACGAGCTAATAAATCGAAACAACATCAACACAGATGTAGGTACGAGAGTAGAAGCATTTACACAGGCGTGATTTTTTTCTAGCACGCAAGCGCAACTAGCTTGTTTAGTAGTATTTAATACCGAATTTCGGCGAATAAATTAAGTGCAGTAATAAGATTTCCGCGACACTGTAGGAGGAGGCAGTCTCGTGACATCTTCATATTAAGGCGCGGCAATTTAGAGAGTAGATTTACCAGTATCACGTGACCTCTGGGAATATAACATAACATAACATAACATAGTGATGTCGGCGCTGAAGTGTAGGCCTGATGTGGCCTGTCGCCGAATCTTTTCCTTTTCGTGTCATGTTCATAGATCTAAACTCGTGTCATTTGACCGGATCTTTTCATGACTGACGATAGTTTGAAGTAGCTACTAGACTTCCACCATATCTAAGAGATAACTATCGTGCTGAAAGCATTATTTATCACTATATCCGGTATGAGATTTCGGACACACGCTTATTGCACAATATATAGGTACCAATTATATGTAAATACCGTACAATTGGCATAACATGTTATAACATTTATAATAAACATAACATGTATAACAGAGTACTGTACAAGGCACCGATTCATGTCTAAGGTAGTCATAAATAAACTCGTATAATTTTACTTATAATAATTCACCGCCGTTAAACACAAATGTACCGCATTTGATGCTTTGATTTGTGAATAAAAAGTAATTTACCTAAGCAGGCATAATTTCTGTGATCATGAAGTTATTAAGACAAAAACATGGCTAAAAAAATAGGAAGCTTTATTCGTCCATGACCCAAATTCTTAAACATATTCAGATCTTAATAGTTCAAGTCTTAATCGGGACATTTGATCAAAGCTTTTAGAGGTTTTATGTAAATAATGTAATCAACTCTATTGACCGAAGTCTGTGTTTGGAATCGACTTCAAACGTTGTGTCAGTTCGTATATGTATATCTGGCTGCCCGCGACCAAGGAGAAAATAAAAAAATCTGAATCAAAATCCATATGGGTCAACGTTCTGAATCCACTGCTCCTATTCACGTACTGCCGACAGCAGAATCTGATATGTCTTTCGCGGTCCGCCCAAACAAACGAGAAAATGCATAGTAAGAAAAAAAGGGAAGCAACGTTTACATTGAACGTTCAAAACAAACCTTGAGCGGAAGAGAAGTTCCAGTGATGGTCACTCTTCATCCAAAGTTCATCAAATCATCTATTTACAAAAGACTGATCCCACATGACTGCTCTATCAAAACAAAGTAAACTATGGAACTCCTCTGGCTGGGTTAGTGGGTAACATACCGCGCACGAGCGCACCACATCCACGACCAAAGCTTGCGCGACACTGACTCTATCCCAAGTCTGAGTCTCTGAGAGTCTCCACTCTCCAAGACTCCAACCAATGTCTGGCAGCCTGATCGACTGGCCGACATCCATGTAGTCCGCATATTCCCAAATTCGATGCACCTTCGCCCCCTAATCCATCCACTTCATCATCGATTGATGATGGAACGAGAGCAATCTGAGTATAAGAAGAGAGGTCGCATGTAAAGAAGAGGGGTAAAGAGAAGAATCATAGGAACATATGCTGCATTGGCTCTCTCACTTTCGTTAGAGGGGGTAGCAGTAGAGTCTGGGATGAGGTGGAATGATATGTGTGGGCTTTTGTGGCATCAGTTTCAGATAAGCATAGCATTTCCTGGAAAAACTGGTGCAGCATATTACGTTCATCATTACCAAGGATTCGGAATAAGGAACAATGTACTGCTCATAGAACGCAGTCTTAATTGAATATTCAATGATCGATGGTTGATGCAATTTGTGGCGTTGTATGACTGCTTACGTGTTACTGTGGCAACTCGCATGAGCGTCTTGCAGCATCGAACAGCACACAATACAAACTTGAACTTTAGGATCATTTGTTCTAATTCTCCGCTGCAAAGCAGCGTTATTTGTTCTACTGCACGAGAGAGTAATTGAAGTTGTAATCTAAAACAATTTTGATGGCAGGCTCGATTAGCAAAAAATCCAAGGCAACGTGTTCTACAGCAGTGTAAATATTATGGTCGCAATGGGGTTCAAGTATGAGATGCGTGAGCCTTGCCTAAGTCATTGCTTCCAGGAGAAAACCATTATCACGAGGGTACAGAGGAGCAGCATCAGGCCTTAGGGTGCAGTTCAGGAGGCGCTCTAAAATCGATACGCGTCACTCAAGGGAAATTGGAAAAAAAGGTGCGCTGGGTCCGCCACTGCAAGAACATTCATTCAAGTCTTGGGGCTGATGAGTGATTATGTCATTGCCTACTTCCCGCTGCGAAACGAACAAGAAATTAAATTTTATGGCTAATCCGATTAGTTGTACAGTCGGTGTAATATCAGAAATTTTAAAGAGGTTCCGAATTCTTCTGTAATTCGTATTCAAATTAACATTGTATACTCTATCTACATACTTGTATCTAAGCGCTATGCGATACGCACTGTTCTCGTACAGGCTACTGGGGACATTAATGCTTTATTGCATTCCATGGTTGATGAAACGCGTGGAGGCTGTCCTAACTAGAGGACGCATCTCTAGTCAAGTCCAGGGGCCATACTTTCAAAACTCGCTAAGTCGCTAAGTGGACGTAAGTACTTACGCTCTATTTTCTTGTCTATGATTGGTGGATTTTGCTTGAAAGGCCGTCAATGATTGGCTGATGAACTTACGATCTTTTAACTTTTTTTGAAAGTATATGCCCAGTGCAACACCTTATCTACACTTGCCTGGCCATAATTCTAGGAATTTATCACGTAAGTTATTAAGCCAATCAAAGGTCCATATTCCAACAAACCTCGTCGATTTTCGATGAAAGTTCTAATTTCATGATCAATATCAGTTCTAAGCTTCATTCATCGTAATATTGTTTGAAAAACTTAGCGGAAACAATAATGAGAATTAAGCTTTCTATGAGTCTACACAGTACCTACACACACACTTCAAATATGCTAGCGACCTATATATTTATGATGAACTATGATATTTAAGCATAGATCTGGGAATAAAATTTAAACTGAAAGCGAAGCAATTCCCGTGGTTTAATAATCTACACGTTGAATTAGATTATTAGTTTGAAAGGGCATTTAACATGCGGTTATTTTACTACCGCACAATAGTAAAAAACTCCACACAACAAAATTCGTTTTTGGTCGTGGTTGATAAGACTGAAAAAAACAACGCCGTTGCGTTTTTAGCGCATTTTCTCATTTATGGAAATAATGCAATATTGTGCTCGCCATGTCCGTCTGTCTGTCTTTTTGTCTGTCTGTCCGTCTGTCCGTCCGTCCGTGACCTCACGTTTTCGTCGACGAGAAAATGCGCTCTCTAGCTGTCACTCACTGCAGTGAGTACTGAGTTATATTTTTTAATATTGCTGCAGAATTACAGGTATTGTTGAAAGTACTTTTCAACTTGTACGTTTTCAACTGTGTCCTGCGTGTTTTGCGGTGCACGCACAATAATCATTTAAATTTTATGACCAATATCTAAATTGTGTGCTTTATTGGTGCTGAGGCCTGCAGCCACATTCCTATAAAATAAAACACAAAAAAATTGTTTACATTTATTTCTATCCACTTATCTTAGTTGTTCCGTTTAAACTACGTACTCATTAAATTACTGTTTACAGAACGCTACTCAACTAACTGAATTTATACGAGTAGAACGCAGTTGGAGCCGCTGTGAGCAATGGCCCCATTTGTGCGTCGGTGAATGAAGTTTTCGACCACTCACTAGCTCCGCTGGGACAAACAGCAATGCAGCTAAGTGGACTGACCTGAGCCTATACTTTCAAAAAAAGTTAAGAGATCGTAAGTTCATCAGCCAATCATTGACGGCCTTTCAAGCAAAATCCACCAATCATAGGCAAGAAAATAGAGCGTAAGTACTTACGTTCACTTAGCGAGTTTTGAAAGTATGGGCCCTGACCTATTTTCGTTACACTAATCACTTCGGAAATTTAAGTCTTACTCAAAGAGTCAGGTTCCAACGATGAAAGTAACACCCCGACATTCTCATTCATCAGAGTGCATTCGTGATCATTCGTCCGCAGCGATTTACTTCGCATGGAAGGCAACGAAAGAAAATTTGGAAGTTGTGAGGTATTTTTGGTGAGTCGATACCAACGGTTTTAGTCGAATAGTCGGTATATATGTTTCAAGAATAATGTAATAATTGTAATATCTGATGATGGGGTACGGACCCGTCAGGAAAGGTAATCGTCTGAAAATAGGGGATAAAAATAGGTAATCATCTGAAAATAGGGGATAAACAGGTCACTATGGGGTGATCATCGTGAGGATGTTACAAAGTCATGATGGGCTAATTTGGGGTAAAAAAATTACGGCATCCATTTCTGAAGAAGCCATTTATACACCTGAATTATCCTGACGTGAGTTGCCTGATACATATGCAATCGGTATAAGTAAGTTCTTTGATCACGACTCACAGGGTTTGAGGGGAAATCAGCTTGGCCCTCATAGCTCTCTCTGACCTCACTTCCCTCGTATCCCTTACAGTCTTCACAGCATGGGAGCTCGTTGCCATGACAACGATCTGACCATGACTTGGGTCATCAGTGACTCGGGGCTCGATCTCAGAAATAAAAAGATTATATATAAATAATAATGTCGAAGATTCTGCCACGGTCATAAGTTCTGTGATGTCAAGCGAATGTTGCGATGATCGTTGTCGTTATAATCTTCTCGAAATAATAAATTTCTCACATTGTCACTTATCTTCACTTGAAATTAAAATCTTTTCAAGCCTCACGATTGTGTGGAGCTGTTGGTAACGAGGTGGTAACGCTTATACAACGATCAGTTGAATTACCCAAATTATTATGGTAATATTTCGCGGAAACCTGAACATCGAACATCGTCGTATAGGCAGTTACGAAAGATTACGGAAGTCTCTTTATTAATGAATATTTCGATTAAATTCAAGAATCGGCAACAGGCCATGGGCCTATTTCTTCAGTGCCGACATTTCTATTCTATTCTATTCTGTAATTGTGATCAACATTTGTTAGATTAAGTTCGTGTTGGCCAGCAGAGTGTTGTTAATTTTGATTTAGATTATAGAAGTGTTCTTATTTCGATTAATTTATACAAATAAATCATTGTTCAAGATTGATTGGCGATTTCGCCTGAACGATTAGTCTCCTTGTGGTCGTACGTCTTTATTACTCTCTTTAAATGGAGGCGCTCTTTTCCCTCACGAACTTGCTAGTTGCTTCAGATTTCAGTCTGCCACTGGCTTCCGTGCTGTGTGGTGGTGGGTGTGCACTGCATCCTCGAAGGTGCCGCTCCTCTCGTGACGAAATTTTTTACAACATCGTTTTAAGGGACTAAAACCTAATTTTTAGTCCAGTTATATTAATAAAACATCTCGACGAAATTAGCTTTACCTACACACAACATGATGACGGAGGTGAGTTTTGTCTGGCGTGAGATATCGATTTTTTGGAGTTAGTTTTGGTGTTGGTAGTTAGGTTGCATCAGTGAAGGTTTAGTCAAGACTCGTCCTGTGTGCTTTATTAGCGGTGACTTGTTCTGTAGTCACTATGTCGGTTACAATGTGTGCGATCATATGTCGGCTACTAGCCTTCCTTCCCGATGCTTCATACCAACACGGCTTCATACCTAGGTACTAAGCATAAAGCAAAATACTAGGCTAGTCGATGGTTCTTGAAATGTCGGACTTTAGTCAAGTAATCAATGGCCTAACCGCCCTAACGCTAACGCCAGTCTCGGTACCGTACTACGTAGCTTCCAACCGGACCAACGGTCGCAGTCAATCACTTTGTAGCCATGTAGCCGTTCATCAATAGGTTAATTGCTGAAATACTATGACCTTGTCATTCATTGATTGACCATCTTTGTGGCAAGTTAAATTTGACATTTTAAAAGCGAGGACTTTGCAAAATCATTATGCCGGTCTCATCATTACGTGGAGTAATGGCGACGTCGGATTACTTTTCTTATCTGCAAATTTTTCACCTAGGTTAGGGATTTTAAATTTTATTTACTGATGCCCGTGTTGGCGGCATGCTTCCCGTTATCACAGATTCTAAATGCCTTTCAAGAATGCATTTTGCGGGTAAAAAATATTGTTTTATGACGAATCGCTTAGTAATTTGAAAAGGAGCAATCCTAGGCGTTTGACCATAGTCTTACCCTGACTGCCACCAGAGTTGCTAGAAGTTAGGAACTTTTGCGAACAGGGTAATGTTGACTAAAACGTTCCGTATGTAGTCAAATTCGAAATATAAAGGCACGTAAATTTCCTGACTTGTAT